CGGAGTGAAGCACGTGGCGTCCGGATGGGACGGACGCCCGTGGCCAAGCATCTCCACCCAAGTGATTTTAACTATTTAATTCCCTTGTTGTTATCTGGTTCTCCAAATGGTTGGCAGCTCTGAACCAACATGTGGTTTGCAACTCCTACAGTTCTATTTTGCAAGGCTTAAGTGAGTCCTAACACATATAAAAGAAGTATTTATAGGCAAGTTATACTAAAAAGTAGAAATGATTGTCATTCTTTAAGCTATATATATAATGCATGCGTAATGTCAATTTCAAAATATGTACATTGAAATACAAAATTTAATGGAATATTCTGATAAAGTAAACAACAGTGGTAGAAAATGTTTGAGACTTGCAATTGCCATCTTAACATATTGTATGGAAGTTATTACTATTCCAACACTAATATACAATTACGCTTCATAGAATGCATTCACATTAACTGCTGCATATCAAAGTACATCAAGATTGCTCTTTCCATTAAAAATTATATAGACACTCATCCAAATTTCTCAGCCCCGCCAATTGGGCAACTCAAAACCCATCACCTCTTTACAACAATGCTTACATGCCCATAGAGTGGGAAGAAGCAAAGGAGGCCCTATATTCCATAGATGGTTGCGTGGCAGTGAATGCAAGCAGGGCACCTTGCGAAGTGTATTAGATAACAAGCAAAGACAAGAAACTTCTTTCCTCAAATGCTTAAGGTTTCCTATCAACTTCTCGCGCGGTGCAATATTGCAGGTGTGTGTGGGTTGAGTTTTGATGGGTGTGAGACCATGGGTAAAATGGCACGCAGCACTCTTGCACATTCGAGAAAAGAAAAAACTTCCTGGTGCATTAGAGTCAATAAAGGACCTAGTGTGAGTAGCTTAAGTTGTATTTGATAAAGTAAGCAGCATAAAAAAACAAGTACGTAGAAGTTTCCAAGCATAAACTTGAGTTTAATACAGTGAAATTTGTTCCTTCTATATATGCACATATTTCATCCAATATTCGAAATCAAGAACAAGACATTCTCTAGTTGCATGAACTTTTAGTGGCAACGTGGTGTGTGTCACAGTTTCTATGGTGAACCACAAATTGTGCCTATGTACCAGGTGGAGCATCCATGTAATAAAATGCGGCATGCCATAAGTGTGGAAGAAAATCAGACACCAGCACAAATAAGTCAAACTTGCCCAACTGGATTGTGGCAAAATCTTTGGGCCAACCAAACAGACCTAACTTTGGGACATGATTTTTTTTATTACACAAGGAACGAGTAACTTGCACTGCTACTATCATCTCTGGTTCCTCGCTGACGCTAACGGATTAGTACATTTGGAAGTGGTCGCTAAGTAGATGGCTTGACTTTTTAGAAAAGGAGATGGCTTGACTTTGTTCACGTCTGGTCGTGTGTTTTCTATAATGGGCGCGAATGTAACTAAGCTTTATTATTTCGGTGTGGGTGTGGTGGGTGTTGTTTGTCATTTGTGCTCTCCTCTCTTCTTCTTAATGGCAATGATACGCAGTTCTGCGTATTCGAGGAAAAAAAACTGTAACTTGCAATAAGCAACATCCGTCACTAGTTAGGATTTATACAACAACGCACTACCAATACCATCATATTCCGGACAATGTGCTGGTCCACCATCCTTTATCATCATATATTCAATAAAAGGAAAGAACAACTTCCAAGTTTGTAGTGATGGCCATACCTAGAACAGAGCATCATAATTTGAGATTGTTGCAACCAGCAGTGCCACATTTTAGTGTGCTCTATAACAATGTTCTCCGAGTCCTTGGGGCCAAGTATCTCAACAACAGCCTGTTCCATGTACATCATGTAGAGGCAGCCATCCATTGGAACAACGGTTCTTTGTCCAAAATTCTGTCCCTCAGATATCAATCTCCATCTTGAGAAGAATCGCAATACCAGCCCCAACCAGTCTGCCATCCATCTTTACAATGCAATGACAGCCTTTTATGATGAGCCTCTTCATGTGCATGACAATTTATTAACCTGGCCATGAAGATCTGCTGAGAAATATGCTTCCTGAGAACATACTAATAAGATGCACATATGACTGAAAGAATAGTAGAAACTAATAACGTATACCAATGATATCATCCAAGAGTACTTCAACTTTCCAAGATCTTCAGAATTATCTTGGTACACATCACAAACATTAGGTGCATGTAATTGGATTCTAGCTCACCTTAGAAGGACAATTAATTGGCACAGAAAGAAAGCAACCTGGATTCTAGAAGCTAAAACCTAAACAAGCCACCTCAAAGTACATACGGCTTAGAGAGATTGTTAGGGAACCAATGACCAAAAAGATCAGAAATCAGATACTTTAGCCATCTTGAATACTCCCTGGACAATTTACAGAGTGAAATCAAGAACAAATAAACTTAATTGTCTGTATATGAAAATATTTTCATCTGTTCACCAGGATCCATACGCTCAGAATCTATGTCCCTTCCAAATTCAGTCAGCAGAAGCCCCTGACAAAATTGTCTATTTACTGTTTTCTCTCTTAGTTATTGTATTTTCCTTTTTGCAAAAAACCCATTTACTGTTGAATGATCTGCAGTATAGAGACCTGATTCAACAAAATATTTTCATGAGAATTCTTTATGACGAACTGTATGGAGACAGATTCTTCCATATTTTATTTTAATTAATATTAAGTAAAATAAAATATGGTGTGAGGTTATGACATGCTTCCTGCTCCAAGCTGTATGTATTGCAAATTTGGGATAGAATCAGTACTTCCATATAGCATCTGTGCCAGTGCCCGAAACTTCAGAAGCCATCGCAACATCATCCCAATAACTTGCTCCAGCTAAGGTGTGAAGGGCATTGGCGCAGGTAGCTGGACCTCGGCTACAAAGCTCCTAGCCTGGATCGGTAATGGCACGGGGTTTATCGCTGAAGATTTAGTTAGAATGTAGGTTTTTCTTTGTCGTCGTACGAAACACTCGTGAGCCCAGCATGAGAACTAGTGAACCTAATGGCCCATCTGTCAATTCCTCAAACTAGCAAACCAGGCCTTCCCAGGTCCCAATAAGCCGAGCCTAGCTACTCCCCTCAAGGAAGGGGAAAAAAACGCAAAAGCTATTTCGCGACCAGGCGCGCTTCTGCGTGACCGCGCGACTCGCGTGGCGTGGCCTGGCCTGCTTGCATGCGTACGCGGCCTGGCCTGCTTGCACGTGCATCTCGCTTCCATGCGGCCTGGACTGGCCTGCTTGCATGCGTGACTCGGTTGCTTGCATGCTCTACGGAGGGTACGGTGGCGGCATGACGTCGGTTTTTTTCTTTTTTGTTTTCTTTAGTTTTCCATTTTCTATTTTTTTAATTTTAGTTAAATTTCTTAGTTGTCAACTTCAGTTCAGTATTATTTTTTATATTTATGTTTTTTATTTTTTCAGTTTCTATTTTTCTTTTTCAGTTTCTGTTAATTTCAGTTTCATTTTTTTATTGTTGCTACTTTAGTTTTCATTTTTTTTCAATTTTAGTTTTTTTTGTGGTTGTCAATTTCATTTATATTTCGTTTACTTTTTTTTATTGTTGTATTTCTAGTTCCTATTTTAAGGTTTTTAGTCTTTTTTTCCTTTTTTAGTTTCAGTTTTCAGTCAAGTTTTTTTTATTTTTTAGTTTCAGTTTTCACCCTTTTAGGTTCGAATGTCTTTCTAAATCCTGCATATTAGTTGCCTCACCTGCAATATATAAGTTGTAACAAAATGGTACCCATTGCACACATAAGTTGCCACAAAAGAATTTGCTCCATGCTTATGCAACAGCTTCTATTTTTGGGTTTGTTGCAATAATTTGCCCCCAAGTTATACAACTATAGTATTACATGGTAGTAACTCCTTTTGATATTTTTTGACCCTCTAGCTTGTGTATACTATGTAATAACTTTAGTAATTTTTGGATTAGCAACTTTAGGTTTATATAGTAGTAACTTCTTTTGAATTTTTTGCCCCCCGAGCTTGTGCATACAATATAAAAAACTTTAATATATTTTTGGAGTAGCAAATTTAGTATTACATTGTAGTAACTCCTTTCATAAATCTCCTAACACAATTTTACACTTAAATTGTTATTGAAATAAAATTCTTTGAAATATAGACAAGTAGAGTCTAGTTTTATTCGTCTTATCACATAGAACATACCGGTGTAAACGAAATTGAAAACGAATACACCGTTCAAAAGTTACAGCAATTCAAAGAAAATATTTACTTTTTTAGTTTTACGTGCAAGGTACAGTGGGGCTTCAGTCGCCGCTGGTCGGTCGCATGCACTGAGGCTCAGTCGCCACATGCAGTTGGTCGCGAGAGGCTCAATCGCCGCGCGGCTGCATGCGGGTCGCGCACTTTGCTTTTGCGCGACCCGTCGCGCCCTATCCCTGTCCAAAAAAAGAAAAAAAAAAGAAAAAAAACACCTCCAAGCCTGACGCAAACGAAGCTACTTCCAAGCCTATTTATCGGCTTATCTCCCATTCGATTCATGGCTTGCCATCTGCACTGTCTCAGCCTCTCAGGGTTGCTCAGTCGTCTTTCACAGGTGTCTCAGCCAGTGCAGGGGCATCTTCGATCTGGTTCCCTCTGCCCCCACCCCCACCCCCCAAAAAAGGTGCTTATATAACTATTATGTAATATATCACCCAACCTACATGATATTAACACGTTGACAGAACATGTAACTAGGCCATCACATGTCAACTGGGCCAACAAAATGTAAGTGAAGTCTACAACTGCCCAACTGCAGAAAATTGTACATTGCGGTCGGGGAAAACATACAACAATGCAGAGAGCCCAGGGATCCTGACATGCTACATTCAACAGATTCGCCATAGCAGCTCCGTTACTACATTTATCACCATGGCCACCTTTGACACCGGAATAATCCCTGGCAGCATCGGACGGATCACATCTGCATGTCTATTGCGAGAGAAGCAGTGGCTTGACACCGGAATAATCCCTGGCAACATCGGACGGATCACATCTGCATGTCTATTGCGACAGAAGACGCGGTGGCTACCTTCTCCCTTAGATTGAACTTCCTTGCTATATAAGGCCGGACATCTTCAACGCCGACCAAGCTTTCTAAGAACGGGAGCAACTTCGTCAGCTCCGTGTCATTGGGATCATCAAACCAGCTTTCTATAGGAATGCCATTGTCCAACTGGAATCCAAAGGCCTGCACCAAGGAAAGCAGCTTTACATTCAAATCCTCCCAAAACCCAACCAGCGAACAACTATAAGCTAATTCAACAGGAATAATGCAGATGTACTGATAACAGCTGCGCATGATCCAAAAGATCAATGATGCTACTGCTAAAGACACTCACGCTCAGAACTACAAAAGGTCCTGCTACTCCGAAAGACACTCACGCTCAGCATCTCCAGCATCTCTTAGGTCTGAATATGATTTGTCATCAAATGCTCCCAGGGACTGGCCTCTATCCAGGGAACAGTAAAAATAAGATTCTACTTATTTCTTCAATACGATACTTATCAGTTTATATTAGCTATCCCAATAATTCTGAGAAGCTATGCAATGCCCAGGAAGTACCAAGAACCACGACGTGCAAGAATTTCCCACGAATTCATTATTCTTTCATAGCATGTGAACACTGAATGGTCCCAACCAAAAAATTCAAGGACATTGTAGGCACTGAATGAAAATGCTAACGATAAGGGTAAAACACATGCATGTCAGTGGTGAAAACAAATGGCCCTACCAGGCTGGGTAAAATAAAGATGCTCATTTGAATGAAGGCCGAATGGAAAGGAATCCTCTGCAAAAGGGGGAAAAAGATACAATAGTGCATACCTGCGGAGAATTATCAACAATCATTACACGAGTTAAGTCACGTCCAAGTACTGTCAGATCCTTCATGTAGTTTCCCTCCACATAGACACAAGATTCACGATAAACACGATGGCGGAACAACTTTCTTTTGGGATCAAGAACATTGAGAAGTTGCTCCGCATAAATGCTTTGACTAGCAGTGAAAATAATTGTCTCAAACATGCTGGCAACCCTCTCCAAGAATTCCTTGAGATAGGGGCGGCATCGAACATATATTGTGTGCTCTCTAAAGTTAAAATGAACTGGAAATGTGAAATCAGCATCCTCACAGTGTTCAAGAGTTGAATGCACAAGTGTCTCTGCATTGTACCAAGACAAACACGAAATTAACATCAATGTGAGAAATGAATGATAATCTAAAACTTATATCTAAGTGGCAGTAACAAAGCCCAGACAAGAGAAAAGAAGTAAATCCGATGCTTTGGTCCAAAGCATGATTCTAGGCAAGTTTCTGGGAACTACTAAGTGCAGGATTACTGCCATACAGCAAGCAATCTAGTTTACATCAAATAACCAAGATCTACGTCCATGTTGAATCTGAGTTCTGAAAGACCATGATAGTGATATAGTCATGGTACAAATACATCAGTCTGCAAAAACAATATCCGCCTTCTGTTCTACTAGATTTAGCCAACATGTGGAGTACTGGAGTTCATCTTGTTATAACACATACCAGCCCCTAGCTGCAGGAAAATTGTTCTAAGACAACAAAATTAGACCAGTACTTGCTAGTTCCATTCTTTCACTAATTAGTAGTCTTAGATGGATTCATGCTTTAAACTTAAGCATTCTAGAGGCAACAGACATTCTGCAGTTTTGAACAACAAAATAACATGAATAAGCCGCTTTGGTTGCAGTTACTCGTAGAAATGGCTATAGAAGGCTATTAAATGCAGTATTGAAGACTGTTAAGTGTGTATATAGTCAATAGTTCATACCATCCAGATCAAGTACAAGAGTCATCGTAGGACAACTCCGGGTCTGCTTTGGAAGGAGAACAGGGCGAAACTTGGGGACCACCATAGATAAATCAGGTAAATCTTTGATAAAAGAGTACGGGTCAAAATCATCATACTCTTCAGTCTCCTCAGCTTCACCATAACCTTCTGTTGAGGTAGAATCTTGACTCTGTTCATCAATGCACTCCAGCTTAGACTGCTGCATAGCAAGATATATTGCTGACACTTCTGATGAAAGGTTTCCCAGTTCACTGTACTCATCCACTTCAAGCAATGTGCTTTGCCCAGCTGATTGCGAATTTAGTGTGCAAGAGTGGTCATTTATCCCATCACGAGTGTCACATGAAAGGTTTGACCCAGATTTTAGGCTAGCTTCCTTACTACCATGAACATGTGTTGCTTGTTCTTCTAAGCCTGCATGATCAATAATCAAGTAATGAAGTAACAAGGAATGAAAACGAAAAATGAATAGCACAGGCATGGTAACATGACATGCAAATAGCACGAATGATGCACCAACCGTCAACAGCACTACCAAAAGATTATATAGGTATACCTTGGGTTCAGAAACACAGCACATAAAACCAGCCATGGGAAAACACAAACAAATCAACAAGCAGCAATGAATGTATAAGCACAGTGTAACACTTAAATGTTCTAAACTTCTAGGAAGATCAAGGTATCCAATTGTTCAAGTGAACATATAAATTTCCTACCATGAAAACCTGACATAAAAATATATTTCTTTAAAACAAATTATTCATAAATTGTTCTCCATGTATCCTTCCAGAAGTGAATTACTCAGGAGAAAGGTGAAACAGGGAAATATAATCATTATGAGTCAAGCATCAGCGGAGTGAAATACTACAATATGACAGCCAGAGTGCAAAACTGTTCAGAAAGACTGAATAAGAAATTTAGTATTGTAATAGAATTAACCCAAACAACGACAACAACATGAAACTTCAAAAAGGACGATAAACAACCAAAACAGAACTAAAAAGTTTTTCAAGTGGTGTCGCCAAATTATCATTATATGTTATAAAGGCGCTGCCATCTAACACAAAATTATTAATGTTTTATCTGTTTGCACCACTCAATTAATGTACAGAGAAATAAGTCTTGTGTCAAACAACTCTCACACAATGGTGCGTAATAGAAAGAATCATTGATTGATGTTTAATTGAAAGCATTTTGTTTAAGATGTTTCGTGCCTCATATAATATCCCGCAAGACAACGTCATACAGAAGTCACTGTCTAAAAGAATTAATTTAAACAAAGTTAAACAATTTAAAACGCTAAGATGTGAGTATTAAATTTCTCAACAAAACAGTTAGCAATGAAAAAGACTCTGCCTGAAAATACATTTAATCCTAGCAAAAGAAAATATTAAAACATTAAAATTGTCTCCATGTACCAAAAAAAAGGATAAGGAGCAACAAATCAGACAATTTTATTATCTCTATACCTTTAGATAGGTTATTCAGACCACCTTCCTTGTGATGATGATATGTTGGAGAGAATATGGAATCATTGGGACGATCATCTGCAACACTATCAGAGTGCTGGGCCAAGAAATATAAATATTATAAAAGAATGAGTATGCATGCTAATAAATAATATAAGATAAAAAGTAAGTCTACTGTTATGGTTAAAACAAAAAACCTAACATCAGACCCAGGAATATACTAAAACAAAGTTATTACTACATCAAGGGGGGGGGTTGAGGGGAATCTATGCACCAAAGGTAAACTAACACAGTTGGCGCAAAATGAGCAACTCATACTTGGCTGATACTTATCTAACACCTGACTAAAAGAAAAGAAGGATAGCAAACTACATACATAACAACAACCAAACTATCAGCATCTCTATTCACTTCAGTTTTTCTTGGAAGAAATTAACAACACAGATATTAAGTAACGGAAATACAGCAGAAAAAGGTTAAGTAACTTCAGTCTAAATTTCGACAACAAGAACTCTACCTGCAGGTCTGGGGGGATGCAAGGGGCCACCTGAGGTGCATCATTTTCAGCATCAGTTGTATCACATGAAACTAACAGCTTCCTTTCTCCTATAGAATGCTTCTTGGAAGTGACACCAACTGCATGGTAACAACACAATTGTAGCAATCAGATCCAGTCAATGCTCCCATCCTAATAGTAAATCAACTTGATAGAACATCAGAAGTAACATCTGAGCACCAGAGAGGCACCAGAAACACCTCCAACAATTCAATGATGAGTAAAAACCAACCCTTTTTCCAAAGCAGTGTCAAAATAATTAGAGGGCTAATAAGTACTTGTAGGACAATGGCTTTCTTCAGATTGGACACAAGATGATTAAAAGAAAAGGTTTATACACAAGATGTATCATCAATTTAACAATATCATACTACAGATGAAATATAATAAGAATAAAACATATCAACCAAAGTTTTGATGGAACTTTACCAGGTCTCTGCTTCTTGGAAGAAGATGCGATGAGATCGGTTACTTTCTTTTCAGCCACTGTAGATTGAGTTGCCCTTCTGGATGGCCTACTTGTCTTAGGATTGGCACGGTCACCAGCTGCATTTTTTGCAGCAACCTTTTTTCGTGTTTGCATTGTTATTATCAGGTACGCCTCAAAACAACTGACTCATGCAACAGAAGAACACCGTAGAACAAGTTTCCTTGACCACTTCCAGCTGAAATCGATAATAAGAGAATATAAACAAGTTAATCAAGGAAATTCTGCAAAGTACCAATGCAAGAAAATGAATTTCTGTATTTCACAATAAGTAGAGTCCTGACATCAGATGTTGCAACTAAACTATAAATACTGATCAACAACAAACATAAAGAAACCACAAAATCAGACAAGAAACGTTGATTGATAGTTGCAACTTTCAAATGAAGGCAACATGTTTTATAGTTATAAGGGTCTGTGTATGGAATAGACATATCCATTGACACTAGAAAAACTGTGGAGGGGTTAGTTTTAGACTGATAATACAGTTTCAAGGGCAGTTTGATCCCACATAAATTGGATTGATCACCAAGCTAAGTAAAAAGAACAACCATGGGCCAGAAATATTTCCTACAAGGTCACCTAGGCATCACCCTTCATCTAGTTGCAGGCACCCTACAAGTCAAACATAAGCACATCTAGAAGTGAACAACCCTAGTAAACCCTGACCAGAAGCAGCCAGTGGTTCATGCCACAACTTGCATACCCGAACAAACACTGGAATCACTTTTTCTTATGATCCACACCATCCAGTAAGTACAAGAGAGCTTAGGCATTAACCAATTTTTTCCCCAGCTATAGCACTCGTGGTGCACAGACACAGAATGCAGCATTCGTGCAAGACCAAACATACTGGAAAAACTCCCCCAACATTCCCACCTCGAAATGCCCGAAAATTCGAATCACAGATGCACACGCCTCCCCCGAAGCAGACTTACATTTGAACCCCATAACCGCCCCCTAATACAGGTGCTATCCACCAACACTTGGCCTTCAAATGCTCGAGTCTGCAAAATCGGCCGCGCAGATGCGCGCAGCTCACAATTTGAACCCCAGAACCGCCCCCTAACACGACTAACATTCGCGCGATGAAGTGAGCGGAAATACGAGAAGGAAGCACCACAAAACTGACCGGCAGCATTGCTCGAGACCGCGCAGCTAATCGGGCGAAACGGGCCGTTCGCCCGAATCGAGGAGGGCGAGGCCTGCAGGAGCAGGGAGGGGAATCTCTCTTACCCGGAGCAGAGGAGGAGGGGAAACCCGCGAGCTCGAGCCCTCCTGCGCGAGCGGCGGCGGTGGGATTTGGCTCCAGCCGCCGAAGCCCCAAACCCTAAGCAATCCTGCGCCGACGAGGAGGTGCGGGTGACCGGGCGGACGAGGTGCGTCGGGTGTCGGCGGAGCGCACAGGCGGTGACCCGGGGAGGGGCGGCAAAGGCGGACGGCGTAGCGCAGGTGCCGGGATCCGGTGGCGGAGGTGCCTCGAGCGGCGGCGTGTCGCCGGGGGCTGAAACCCTAGTCGCCCCTATTCGCCTCCGGGGCCGACGCGGGGTTTTGCGGTGTGGAAGGAGGGGAGGGAAATGACGCGCAGCGACAGCGACTGAAACGCTCACTCACATGCTGAATGAAGCCAACCAGTTTACCATACCAGTCGTCGGTTCCGACCGACGGGACCCACATGGAGGGTGACAGATACAAGGAGGGCACGCGTCCCCCTTGACCTTGACTCGCAGCTGACGTGTGCACGTGTGCTCGGCGTGCCACTCACGACCACGAAACATGTTTCCCACGAGGGCCTCTTTTAGACCTGGGGTTAGTAATCAGTATTTAGCATGGCACTGTACTATTTTTTTTTGTATTTGATAATTATTGTCAATTATGGCCTAACTAGGCTCAAAAGATTCGTCTCGTAATTTACAATCAAACTGTGTAATTAGTTATTTTTTTTTATCTACATTTAATACTCCATGCATGTGTCCAAAGATTTGATGTGATGGAGAGAGTGAAAAAACTTGCAATCTAAACAAGGCCGAGGTGAGAAAATTTGTTGTGTTTAAGGGCCTTTCGGAATACAGGAATTTTATAGAAATTTCACTGAATTCAATTTATTTTTCGCAGAAAAAACGTAGGAGCAGAAAAAAGTCCCACAAAAAAGTCCTACTTCCAAAGGAGCCTAAACGTTTTAACGATGCCTATTTTTTGACCTTTTTTTAGAAAAATACATTTAGACCTCTGGAGGTTTCATTTTTTTTACTCTAGGCTCGGCATCGTAGATCTCAGTGCCGAGGTTGCCTAACAGGTGGGCCGCCTTCTCTTTCCTTACCATTCTATAGTTCTCTCGTTCTCATCTCTCTCGCCTTGTCGTTTTCACGAGCAATCTGCCTCACTACCTCTCCGCCACCAGCCCGTCCTCCTCACCGCTGCTGCCCTGTCGTCCCTACGCCTCCTCCCCTCTGATTCCTCTGCTCGCGTGCCTGCCCCCGCCTAGCCCATAGCTGCCCGCCTCCCCGTCCTTTTCGTAGCTGGCCGCTGGCTGCCTCCTACCGGTGCCCGCATCTCCGGCTCGCCAGGGATGTGAGGCAGCACCGAGCGGGGCCACACAGAGGGGCCCTTGGGTGGCCGGCTCCACCCCCGGAGCAGGCCCGGCCTCCCCTCGTTGTTTCCACATAGGGAGGTCGAAAGGATCTAAACAATGCCTAGAGGTGGGTGAATAGGCGTATCTAAAAATTCTATACAAACTCAAAAATCAAATGTCAGCAACTGTCAGAAGTCCCAACAGTTTGAGTCGGAACTTCCGGCAGCCGGAAGTTCTGACGCAAATAGCCGGGAGTTTCGAATCCTACGTGCATTTTACTACAATTGCTAAAATAAACTTTGAGTGCAAGATTTCTTACAACCCCACTTCCAAGTGGTTAGATAGATACGTAGAGTCACTCCCTTGACGCCGAAATGCTTCCACTTCGTAGATCGAGTCCAAACACTAAGAAATGCTTGGAGAGAAGAGAGACAACCAAGAACAAATATGATAGCACAATTCACAACAACAACAACAAGCACGCGGGACACAAGGATTTATCCCGTAGTTTGGCAACCCTACAAAGGAGCTCCTACGTCCTTGTTGTTGAGGTGGACACAAAGGCCCGGAGTCTCTTCCACCTCCTTGCCTCTCTCAAGGAAACCACAAAGGTTACTTGAGCTTTCTACTAAGAAAATGAGGGTAATACAAACTTTCCAAGACTCTTTCACAAGATGGAAGCTCTTGGACGACGTCTAGCCGGCTAGGAGCAAAGATCTAAGAGTAGTAGACGCAAATACAACCGGCTTGACAAAGAAATCAAGTGCTCAAGCTTGTCGAAATGATTCTCTCACTCAATGAACTCTCCTTTCACTCAAATCCTTAGAGAAATCGAAGTTAGGAGCAAAGGAGAGAGCTGAGGGGAGCTTTGAATGCTTGGGAACTCTTTTGGACAGAGTTAGGTTTGTAATGAATGAGTGGGTAACAGTTAGAAGAAAGGAGAGAGCTATTTATACTCTTAGACAAATTTAACCGTTCAGATTTGCGTCGGAAGTTCCGACACAGATCGCCGAAACTTCCGGCTCTAAAAACAGCTTGATTGACTCTGCGAGAGGAGTTGGATCGACTCTTGGAGTTGGAACTCCGGGACTTCGCCGGGACTTTCGACTCATGTCGGTACTTACGACGGCCAACCGAGCCTAGCGACTAAGTCCAAGAGCGCGGGGACTTCCGGTGGTAGTCGGGACTTCTAGCGGTAGTCGGGACTTTCGACTATCAAAAGTTCACAACCTATATCTAGGTGTTTGTGAGGTAATTTAGTGTCACTCTTTTGATTTTTTTATGCTTGAGCACTCTATCTTCCTCGGACCACCTAAACTTGCATCCCTCTTTATAGTACCGTGAACCTAAAACCCAAAACAAGAAATAGAAACAATAGAGATCTCTTTGAGTTCGTCCGCCTTTTATACTTCAAGAATTGAAGAATATCATTTCATCTTAGATTAACTCTTTAAAACTTTCATGGGACTAAAGCTACAATATATCTCATTAGTCCCTAATTTGAATGTCATCAATACACCAAAACCCACATAGGGGGCAAATGCACTTTCAGAGGCACGCACTAGCCGGCAGCGTCCCCGTAGGAGGCCCTCTGCTGCGGTGGCCGCCACCGGCGCTCGACGCCTCCCCTAGCTTGACGCCTCCCCGCCACTCTCCCCTACCATGCAAGCACAATAACATACTCAGTTAACTTAGTTCCTCTAGAATGGTAGCTTAGTTTGGTAATTTAGGTATTGGTTAGTTAAAGAATTAGTTATAGTTAGCTAGTTTAGTATATAGTTAATTAATTAGTTTTTACTTAGTGGTTTTGATATGTAACATAGTTGGTTAGTGATTTAGATAGATAGATAGATAGATAGATAGATAGATAGATAGATAGATAGATAGATGGTTAGTTAGTTAGTTAACTAGTTTTTTAGATAGTTATTTACTTAGTTAGATCATAGATAGTTAGTTGGTTAGTTAGATAGGTTGTTAGTAGTAGTTATAGTGAGTACTCCCTCGGTTCTAAATTATAAGTCGCTTTGACTTTTTTGATATATCAATTTTGCTATGTACGTAGATATAATAATATATCTAGATACGTAGTAAAATGAATGAACCAAAAAAGTCAAAGCGACTTATAATTTAGAATGGAGGGAGTAGTATTTAGTTAGTTACTTTGTTACCTACATAGTATTTAGCTACTTACTAGGTACTTTTTAGCTAGTATCTAATATCCAATTTCGACTAAATGCATTAAGTTTGGTTTTCTGTATGAACTAGATGGACAACGTAGTCACCCTATATCATGGAGGCAGTGTGGACAAACATGATTATGGAAATGTTTGCTTTGTTAGAATGCAAAGCGTGCCTCTGTTATTCAGTGATCGGTCGTTGTTTAGTGTGAGTTAGTTGCAGGGCTCTGGAGGAGCTACATTGGCTTGCAAATGAGGACAACTTAGAAGCATTTTCAAGCAAGTTAGAGTGTAAACAATTTATGTTTTACCACCTAACTAACCTACAACTCCTAACAACTGAAAAT